CCCCCCCAAATAATATAGGTACTTATTTAGGCTTCTATAGTATTGAGGGTGGGTCCCTGTGCTACTACGCTCGCTCTGGGAGGGCTGAAAAAAGGGCCTCGGGGACACGCTTGTTATTGATGATACACAGTTTTGACGCGTTTTTGTGTGACTGTACGATTGGTTGCCGGTGTGATGCTGTCGCTGTCGTTGTTGTGTGCGTCTGCTAGCCAAAACTGCACAGCGATTTACTCGCAAAAGCGGATCACTTTAAGTTCGCGTGAACAGCAACGAGTTTTGAGTTGGCCGAGCTCAAAAGTCGCAGGCAGGACTTGCATGAGAAGTCCCATCTCGAGATGTAGTGTATTCAATGTATTCCCTATACGGTGCGGAATACACGGTGGGAGCCTATGGCTTGCGGTTCCTCGACCCTAAACCCTAAGCCCCTAAAACCCAAAATCCCTAGACCCCTAAACCTAAACCCTAAACCCTAAACCCTAAACCCTAAACCCTAAACCCTAAACACTAAAACCCTAAAACCCCAGGTTTTTTCTGTGATCCTTGCCTGCGGTCGTCTTCATGGTCATGGTCATCTAGTCTTCATGGCCCTGCAGTTTCGTTCAAGCATCGTTTGAGTTTAGGGTTTAGGGTTTAGGGTTTAGGGTTAAGGGTTTAGGGTAAGCCGTAAAAGGTAAACCCTAATTTAGGGTTTAGGGTTTGGGTTTAGGGTTTAGGGTTTGGGGTTTAGGGTTTAGGGTTCAGGGTTCGAAACCTTCAACACTGAAAGCTTGTCTGTTCGGAACGTCTGAACATCGCTCATGGCATGGGGTCAGTGGCTTAATTTCCCACGTGCCCGAAATATCACGGATTCATTTTGCTAGGTTTAGGGTTTAGGGTTTAGGGTTTTCCTAGAAGCTTCAAGGCCTTATCATCTATGGAAAGGCTCTGGGTTCTAAGCAGCGCGAAACCTGGAACATGACTCTTTGCCAAAAAGAATAGGGTTTTAATCGCCGGCAGCGCGGCCAGAGCTCGTTTCTGAAGTTTGGTTTTTGAAGCTGTCCCTTGCCAAGAGTGAAAAATCGACCTCCAACAACACAAGATGCATACAGTGTTAAGCACGCCCGGGCTGTGGCCAGCGCGCGGCTTGTGAAACTCTAAACATTTTCAAGACCCATGGTGCCGAGCCGAAAACGTAGTTTCGCGAAATCTTTGCATGACCCTCTAGTGTTTTAAACACCTGCAAAAGCTCCTCGCCCATGCAAAACGCAAGTTTCGCACGAGTTTTGGCCGAACCGCCACGTTGCTGTTGCAAAATCATGTCTCCAAACGCACGTCCCGGCACAGGCGCCGGCACCATGTTGTGTGTATCGGCGTTGGAGTTTCCCGGGCAGTGCGTGGGTGGGCTTTACACGAATGGGTTGACTTGGCACGACTGTGGGCGCGACACTGAGAAGAGTTTTTGAATTGAGAGGGGTTTGATAGTTGAGTTTCCGGACTTTTTTTTTATCGAGGGTGGGTTATTAAAACTTACTAAGTCCCTTGATGCTGTAAAGTGGAGGACAACCAGGCGCTACCCCTACCTGGGCCAAGCCGTTGCTCGGCTGGGTCTCTAGAATGGTCGTAGGGATTTTTCGAAGGCACTCATAAGGCTCTTTGGGCTTTTAAACCCTAAACCCTAAATAAACCCTGGTTTTCAGAACCCTAAACCCTAGACAAACCATGAGGTCTGCAAGGGTGTTAATGACCTGCTTGTTTGAGACTTTGCGATTTTAATCAGGGTGTTGTAGAGGCTTCAGCGTTTGATAAAGGTTTTGAGATGTCTCGGAACCCTAGACCCTAAACCCT